TTAATAACATTTGGTGTATTTAGCATATGCTTTTTTTTAACTACAGGAGCACCACGATTGATAAAAGGCAGACACAAACTAATTTCTTAAAAATTGTGGATTTATGTAATCTACTGTAATTATCATTTATATTTAATGACAGAAAGACTCGTTTTACATGAAAAAAAAAAATACTTAAGGTTTTATGAAATGGCAAGAATGATTAAATAAACAGGGAGTGTGTTATTTGTGAAGTGTTTATTTTAATTTAAATATTATACATTTTAAATGATTATTTTGCCAAAAAGGACAAAAAATAATATGGCCAAAATACAAAAGTCTCTTATTCTGCTAGACGAGTTTTAATTGACAATATGCAGGTTAGTGTAGCTCACGAATAACAAAGCAGTATTAATGAATGACAACCCTGCTTTTTGGACAAACGCCTGTCAAAGAGCGCTTTGAGCTTGTTAGGAGAGGGACAGTTAATTTGTTGTTTATTATTTATATATACTAAATATGGCGCTGATAAGAAAGGGGGAGGCAGCCGTTCAATCACAAAATATGAGCAATATCACACGAGTAGCAGTGCAAAATGGTATGTAATCACAGCGTGCTGATATACAGCCATATTGCCTAGCTACGAGTGTGCTATTGCATTTATACAACAGTTTGACGGCACAAGTGTGTAATAAATAAGAAACAACAATAAAGTGTCTTTAAAAAAACTCTTTTGTGCAGAACTACTTACAGTTGACAGTTTAACAGTTGAGGCCAACCCTCCGTTACTAATTCTAAAACATCGCTTTAGAGCTAACGAAGGAAACTTGAGTCGCTTCATTGAAGCTTATTGTATTATGTGGAGTATTATGAGAGAGAGATCGACTAAACGAGTGTACTACCTGCATCTGATATAGCATTCACTCTTCAGGTCGATGTCCAAAATATTATATCCATTATAAAAAAGTTCTATAAAAATTCTTTTTTAAAAGAATGACAGCACCAAAACAACTTCCTTGTTTTCGGTCTTTGCCGCCATCTAATGGTAATCATGTAACTGCCACTGAAATTGCAATCATGGACCCTTTCTCAATACCAAACACGGCATAATATTTATATAAAATAATATTTATGCAAGCAATAAGGTACGAGAGGCTGTGCAGTATCATGAATAAGTCGCGTATGAAGGGGCGTTGTTCGCGTCGTGCCTGCAACCCCTTCAGCCGGGACTTATTCACGAAACAGCACTAGCCTCGAGTAGGCTACTGCATAAAACGGTTACCACACAATACAAATACAAAAGTATGTATCAATGCAACTTTCATGAAGTAAAATGAAATTACTAAAAGCCTTCCTTGTGCTTGACAAAGTTGTCCATGACCATGAACAGCAGCAGAAAATACATTATTACGCCATGATTAGAGACCGGCAAAGACGGTCTTTATGAGTGAGTCATTCAATAGCGAAAACTTTTAGATTGAAAGGACTTAAACTTGTTGTGAACACGGACAATCCAAATGACAAATGACTAGCGCTGTCAGTGTCAGGGCACGGGGAAACCCAAAAAGACAAGATATTGCAGGGTACATTCAAACGTATTATTTTATTATGGATATAGGACTGACCTGAAGGAAAATGCTATATTTAAATGCAGGTAATACACTTAGTCACTCAATCTCTCTCTCACACAATACCCTACTACCCTATATAATACAGTAAGCTTCAATGAACAATATCAATGAGAACAATGTTTAAGTTGCTAAGGGTGGTTGCTAAGGGTGTTTTGTAGTGATACACCAATCAGAATCAAGGACTGGAACTAAACGTTTTATTATCAACTATAAGTAAGCAATACGGTACGAGAGGCTGTGCTGTATTGTGAATAAGTCACAGCTGAAGGGCGTTGTTAGGCACGATGTTGTTAGGCACGACGGTTACCACACAATACAAATATTAAAGCCGGAAAATGTATGTCTATGCAACTTTCATGAAGGAAAATCACTAAATGCCTTCCTTCCGCTGAAAAAAATAGTCCCTGACTGTAAACACCAACAGAAGTTAAGTAGATTATTTCACCATTAGACTGCGGCAAAGACTGTCTTTATGAGTGAGTCAGTCAGTAGAGAAGACTTTTATATTGCAACGACTCAAACTTCTGAACACGGAAAAGCAAGACGCAACTGACAAATTAGGCCTAGGGCATGGGAAAACATATGTTTATGTTGCTAAGAGCTGTTGCTAGGGGTGTTGTGTAGTGATACATAGAACCGTTGGGTGTAGCGTCATAGCCGTGGTTTATCGTGAATAAAACACAGCTATCAACCAATCAGAGTCAAGGACTGGAACTAACCGTTTTATAATATTTAAATGAACAACAATAGCCATTATAAAAGTCAATAGGAAATAAACACAAGCAAAGAATTCAGTCAAACGTAAAAAAAGCAGCGCTCTAGTAGGCCATACAGGACTTAAGTTAAATATAAGTTAAATATATGTCTCATCCGTCCTTCGGATGAGACGTTAAACCGAGGTCCTGACTCTCTGTGGTCATTAAAAATCCCAGGATGTCTTTCGAAAGAGTAGGGGTGTAACCCCGGCATCCTGGCCAAATCTGCCCATTGGCCTCTGTCCACCATGGCCTCCTAATCATCCCCATATACTGATTGGCTTCTTCACTGTCTCCTCTCCACCAGTAAGCTAGTGTGTGGTGAGCGTTCTGGCGCAATATGGCTGCCGTCGCATCATCCAAGTGGATGCTGCACATTGGTGGTGGTTGAGGAGATCCCCCCCTCTATGTAAAGCGCTTTGAGTGCCTAGAAAAGCGCTATATAAATGTAATGAATTATTATTATTATTATAGCCTAAATATAAAGTTATGAAACTTAATTTTCCCCAAAATCGATTTGCTCTGTAACATGCAATAGATTAATAAGACCAACGATTGCCCATTTGATACACCCCAAATATACTATATCTCATGTTGATCCAGTATCTACATAAGAGCCAGCAGCAAATTCCCGAAGGATTGGCCGAGATAAAGCTGTTCTCTGCGGGTACATGAACGCTGAACTGCCGCCGATGGCCTGGAGCTCAATCTCCGAAAACTTCTAAATAAGTTGTAAAATAGGCACTATGTTTATATAAACGAGTCACATTTGAGGTCTAAATAACTACATTCTTGCCTAAAAAACTCTTAAAACTACATTCCGTGACACATCAACAGTAGTATTTGTTCGTCGGCCATGACAGTCGGCGCAAGTGGAGTAAAACAAATGGTTAAATGGTTATGAAAGCTGATACTGCGGGAATATCACACGGCTGGAAAAGGCTCTCAGCCAATCAGATTCGAGAACCAGAAAGAACTGTTGTATATACAGTATATACTGTACATGCTAACTGTATGATTTGTATTATCTCTTAAATCTGTTCATTTTTGACAAATGGCTATTATTTTGACAGAGTCAAATTGTAATGTATAAACCTGCATTTTCTGTAAAGCTGATTTGAAACTATATGTATTGTAGGCATCTATACGTATCTATAAGCATTCTACAAATAAATCGATAAATGAATTGAAATAGAATTAGAAACTTCCAATAAATGTTGTTGTATTGCGTGGATCATGATTTTAAAGTCACTTGACGGCAATAGATTAAGATGGTTTTATATTTAACAGTATAGTAAATATTTAATTGATTTAGCAAGTAGATGTTCCCGCAATCAGTGTTTTAAAAGGCTCTTTGTTTTGTGACAAGGAAGTTGGTGATGTCATTACTCATTTGATGTTTCACCTGGGGTATTTGGAGCAAAGTGTGTCATTGTTTCAAAAGCAGAGAGGGAAGAAGTTAGTTTCCATCTATGTTTTTTATTAAATTATTTTAGGTACACATTGTATTCTATACTTCCCCTGAAAGTCATTTTGCCATGTTGTAGGCTATTACTTCACCGTATCTCACTATTCCTGATGTCAGAAACTGCTTAAAGAAAAAAATGAAAGCATTCGCAACATCAAATTCACTAATAACTAAACTAACCCAGAAATAACTGTAATAATATGTTCTGGGTTAACTACGCATATTCATGTTCTTGTTGACCAGTTTAAAGAGGCAAAGACAAAAAAGGTAATGTCTCCATTTAGTGGTGAAACAGTGTATTTCATCTAATTTTAGGCATCAAAGGTAAATAGGCCTATAACAAAAACTATAGAAACTCAATAAAATAATAGTAATTTAAATACGGTTTCGGCACAGAGATTTAGTACTACACAAAATATCACACAAAGGCATCTTGTATTTAGTCACATAAAAAAAAAATATTGTTAGTATATATATAATATATGTACTTAATATAAACAATAATGGCCTGGTTTCACTGAGAGGGCTTAGATTAAGCCAGGATTAGGCCTTAGTTCAAATAGGGCTTTAAGGTAGCTTTTATAAAAATGCCTTAGAAAAAAAAAGTCGCTTCCAATTAAAACAGCTCAAACATGCATTTTAGTTTGGAAATTGGTTAAACCTTGTGTGTGAAACTGGGGGATTATGTAGTTATTATATTGTATTAACAAATTTACTGGAATGAAAGGCTGCAAAATTACTGGTGTTTCTATTCTCGACGCTGATGAAGATTGACCAATCACAATAAGTTGAGTAACATGCTGGACCAATCACAATATATGTTCATAATTGACCAATCAGAGTGGTATAGAAATACTTCATATTTCTAATTGAGTGTTAGTGAAAGTGTTTCTGGTGGGCTGCTCTTTGCATGGTGTGGATTTTACAGATGTCAGAGGTTGTTTGCTTTTATGTGTTCTATCTGTGTTGTCATTAATGGCTTTATATTGTTAAAATTAGTATATTAAATTAGTTTTGTTGAAGTTGATGGAAGTTGTTAAAAGTCTGGACTGAAGTTCAAGTCAAGTCTGAAGTCGACTGTTAATGAGTCAAAGTCAAGGTTTAAGTCATTTTTGTGTCCTCTCATATTTATGGATTCATCCTATTAATCATAAACATTTCTCCTAGGTGTTGAATGGAGAGAACAATTACACATGTGAGTATACAGTCACATCCTGAGTATCAAACATCAGATCCCAATTAAAAGTTATTCTTCTGACAATAATACATTGACTGTAATTGTATGAACATTGCTATTTTGTAAATACTATTTAGTAAATGTTTGTTTTTATTTTTTATAAATGCATATATCACAGCATCCCTTGACACTACAAGTATTTCTTCAACTGAGTCTAAAACATCATTTTCTACAAGTGGATATTTTTTCATGGATAATTGGGTAAACATGTTAATAGGAAAATGATATCAGTAGTTTATTCATGTGGTAAATTGTAATAAAAATTACATTAATTATACTGGATAATGACCTTAACCAAACACACGACTTAAAATACACACAGGATAATGAAAAACTAAACAAGACACAGGTTAACACAATTGGTAACCAAGGGAACAAATTAACTGAGTATAGATGTAACATTACCTCCCCCACCCCTGAGGTGGTTGGAGGGGGAGGTATAATCCATACTGGGCCAAGACACGGTTCATGGAAGGACCGGTGGAGAGATAAACTAAGGAGTGGCTTGTGAAGGAAAGAACCATGGAGGAGTAGGGGGAAGAGGCCTCTGTGAACACAGTGAATCCATTTCTGCTGATGATGCTGGAGGGCTGAAGGTCAACGGCGGTGCCCTCTGCGGTTTTCACCAGAGTGGAGCTGTGGGAACTGAAGACTGAGAAGGAGTCAGGTGGGCTGGATACCAAAGTGCAGATGGAGGGATGAAGGACCAAAGTGAAGCTGCAGGCACATGGATCCAAGGTGGAACCAGAGGGTCAGAGGACTGAGGCAGAGATGAGGGATTAGGCTCAGAAGATAAAGCCAATGGAGGAGCCGGGGTGAGACTCTGCGCCAGGATTTCCAAATGAATTAGTGCTTCTACTGGGACGGACGGGGCAGCTGGCTGTAGTTCAGGGTCAGTAGCAGGCGTGGGCTCAGACTATGAGGGTGAAGCTAGAGAAGCCAGCAGAGGGGGTGGAGCCAGGGACCTGCACAGAACAAGCGAAGACGAAGGAGCCAGGGAGCTGGGAGGAACCGGTGGAGAGATGAAGGAGCTGGGCAGAGCCAGCGGAGACAAAGGAGTTAATGGAGGAGGAAATGCTTGGGAACAAGTAGGAACTGGCGAGTCCCTGGAATAGAAGGGGATTCATTCTACCTTGTGATGAGGACATGGGTGGGGCTCTGCTCCAGGATGTCCAATTTAATTAGTGCTCCTACTGGGACGGACATGGCAGCTGGCTGTAGCTCCGGGACAGACTTGCATGCTCAGTCTCAGGGTCTGTAGCAGGCGTGGGCTCAGTCTATGGGTCCGTGGCAGGCAGGTGGTAATCATAGTCTTCCTGCACCTCACCCACAGTGAAAGAGGAACCACTCTTTGCAAGAACTAACTCTACAAAATCTATAAAACCTCCCTCAAGGACCAAAAACGGGCAGTGGAAATAGTTGTTTTATCTTGTCATTAAATCCAGTCCAAAAAAGGTGATCAGTTAACGGTCGTGGGTACGCCAGGTCTAGGGACTCACTGATGTGGTTCACAAAGGAGCGATCATACTGGGTACAAAATTATCCAAAAAATCCTAAATTATTTACTGTTTGTTATGTTCTTTTAATAGTAATTCTTGTAGTACAGTATGTTATAAAGTATATATGTTAAATATATATCCTTGTAAGCATGAGAAGAATTGCACATTGAAACTGTATTATTTCTTTCTATTTCAAAATATTCCAGCAGCCACTGCCACTACAATGTATTCTTCAACTGAGTCTCCAACATCAGCTCCTACAAGTGAGTATGTTTATTCATGGACATTTGAGTAAACATGATGATAGGAAAATTATATCAGTAGTTTATTCACATGCTCATGCTCAAGTAATATTCATGTACAGTTGTCTAAACACTTCCTTAGAAAGTTATTTTGTTTTACTGTTACACGTAATAGGTACTTCGGTATTTCAAATCACATCCTGAGAATCAAATATCAGCACCTGAAAAAAAAATGTGTACAGTTTTATGCCTATATTATATATTTGTGTGATAATAATTATTGTAATGCAGAATTTCATTGTATGCGAAAAAAGTCTTTGTAAACATGTCGACAAATATTAAAAAAATTCTAATAAGAATTGTACTTATTTCATGTCACTTCCTGAGTATCAAACATTAGTGCCTACCAGTTCAAAGATTTATAATGTCATATAATATAAGTTATTCTTCTAACAATAATACATTGATTGTTATAGAAAATTATTGTATGAGCATATGCTTGTTACCATATGCTTGTTAGCTTGTAAGTACTGTTTCGTAAATGTTTATTTTTTATTTCTTTATATGTCCATATATCACAGCATCCCCTGTCACTACAAGCATTTCTTCAACTGACCCTCAAACATCCACTGAAACAACTTCTACTAGTGAGTACTGTTCATGGACAACTGTGTAAACACTTATAGCTGTATTTTATTGAGTTTTATTACTAATGAAGTTTTATTATGATAATTGTGTCAAACAGCAGCACCTACAGTATGAGATGTAATTAATATACTAGATAGACTATTATGACATTTCAGTTGGGAAACCTGTATTCATGCAGTTCCCTTTCGTAGTCACTCCGAGTTACGTCGGATGACGGAGAATGGGGGTTTCGCCAGAAAACCAATCCTCTTCGAGTATTAAAAAACGAGCCAATGGCAAAGAAATGCCATGGGTCTGCGGAATTTGCATAATGTATCTCCGCCCCACCGCGTGGGTATTTAAGGAGAGACACCTGCAACAGCAGATCATGTTTTCGCTTCGGAGCCAAGAGAACCTCTTCACTCCACAGCCACAAGACCTGAGTTTACAAGTGACTCACCTCTTCGAGACGAGCGAACTCTCCAGTGTTGGTGTGACGGCGCTACCCAGCGAGTCTTCACATTGCCTGCGATCTGTGCAGTGGTCTGCCTGACTTTGTGTTTTCTCCCTGGTCGCCTCAGCATTGCAGAGTTTTTCCTCTCCTAAAAGAGCTGCACGTGGCACGTCTTTTTAAAGATGTCTCGCCCGTGTTCTTCTGGTTGCGGTCGATATTTGTCGTCTTCTGATGGGCACGAGCGCTGCTTTGTGTGTCTGGGCTTTGAACACGCTAAAGCAGCGCTCGTGGATGACTCATGTTCCTTCTGTGGGAACATGGCCATCGCAACACTAAGATTAAGACTCAATGATCTTTCAGTGAGAGTCCCCGCGTCCACCACCCGTTCTGCTTCCTCCACGAGAGGTGGTAGTTCGGCTGGGGGACAGGGTGATCTGAGGGTGACGGTGTGGAGCAATCCGACGATGCGTCCTCGGACCACGCCCCCCTCCGCTGTGTTGCAACCCGCGAGTGCCGCGGTGACTCAGGCGGGTCCTTCTTCGGAAGCCCCGCGTGTTTCATTCGGCACTCCAGAGGATGACACGATGTCGATCGTGGCATCACAAGGTGGGCTCGAGTCTTCGGGAAGTGAGGATGCGGCTGCGTTGCCTCCTTCGGGAGTCCCAGCGTTGCCCGTGTCGGATCCCGAGATGACAGCCATGCTGTCCCGGGCAGCCGTGAGCATCGGGCTAGAGTGGAACCCTCCGCCCTGCCCCGAGCGCTCGCGGCTGGACGATTGGTTTTTGGGTGCGGCTGCCGCCTCACGGCCTCAGCCAACCCCAATTCCTTTCTTCCCGGAGCTGCATGAGGAGCTGTCGAGATCATGGAAGGCTCCTTTGACCTCCAGTGAACGCTCGTCAGCTTTCTCCGCCTTTCCTCCCCTCGATGGCGCAGCTGTCCATGGGTACACTGGGATTCCCCCGGTGGAGCGCTCTGTTGCGATGCAACTGTGTCCTCAGAGCGCATCCTCTCGTGGTAATCCTAAGCACCCGTCCAAGGCCTGTAGATTCTCGTCATCTATGGTGGCGAGGTCTCACAGAGCTGCAGGACAGGCGGCTGCCGCCTTGCATGCGATGAGCACCTTACAGGTCTACCAGGCCCAGCTGCTCAGAGACATGCACGAGGGCAGGACTGACCCAGGGACGTTCGACGAACTGCGTGCCGCCACTGACATCGCTCTCCGGGCGACGAAGGTGGCCTCACGCTCCCTGGGTCAGGTGATGGCCACTAATGTGGTCCAGGAGCGTCACCTCTGGCTGAACCTGGCCGATATGCGGGACGTTGAGCGGACTCGTCTGCTCGACGCCCCCATGTCCCAGGCCGGCCTCTTCGGCGGAGCGGTTGAAGAGGCCTGGCCGATATGCGGGACGTTGAGCGGACTCGTCTGCTCGACGCCCCCATATCCCAGGCCGGCCTCTTCGGCGGAGCGGTTGAAGACTTCGCCCAGCAGTTTTCAACCGCACAGAAGCAGTCTGAGGCGATCAAACATATTCTGCCCCGACGGCCAGCTGCTGCCTCCACCCAGCCGTCGGCACAGACGCCTCAGCCTGCTCGCCGCCGAGTGCGCCCTCCTGCAGCTCCCGCCCCTCCCGCACGGCCCCAGCAGCAGCCTTCACCCGGGCCGCGTCGTGGAGGAAGCCGCAGGAAGGCGCCCCAGCCCCCTCAGGCCCCGCGCCCCGCTAAACGCCAGGCCAAGCGGCGTTCCTGAGACGGGCTGCTCAGTGATGGTGTCGGTTTTTTCCCAGGAGGCGGTTGCAGGCCCCCTCCTTCCCCCGGTGGAGGGCCGGGGGAGAATATTTTGTTCTCCACTCCCCGCTGCTCACCCACGGGTGGGCAGCACCCTAATGTGGTTAAAGAAAGAACCGAAATGTCCATCACTGAGCATACAGAGCCGGATGACAGTGTGCGACGCCCCCGTGCCTCGCCACTCTCGTCCTGCTCTGTCTCTGAGGGCGAGGATGACAGTGCGTGCCGTCCCCGGACCACACCACTCTCATCCCCCTCTATCGCCAGACCCCTGGCAGAGCAGACCCCCGCGGAACGCTGGTCCTTCCCTGGTCTCCTCTGTCAGGGCGCGGAGCTTGGCCCTTAGGGGACCTGCACGCATTCTCCGTTGACGAAGCGTGCCTGGAGTTCGGGCCCGGTCACTCTCACGTGATCCTGAGACCCCGGCCTGGATATGTGCCCAAGGTTCCCACCACTCCCTTCCGGGACCAGGTGGTGAACCTGCAAGCGCTGCCCCGGGAGAGGCAGACCCAGCCTTGGCACTGCTCTGTCCAGTACGCGCACTCCGTGCTTACGTAGACAGGACGCAGTGTTTCAGGACCTCAGACCAGCTCTTTGTCTGTTATGGTGGGAAGCTGAAGGGAAAGGCTCTCTCCAAACAAAGGTTGTCTCACTGGATAGTGGACGCCATTGCTTTGGCATACCAGCAGCAAGGTCGACCATGCCCCCTTGGTGTGACCGCCCACTCCACCCGGAGTGTGGCGTCCTCTTGGGCTTTAGCGCGTGGCGCCTCGCTGACAGACATCTGCAGAGCTGCAGGCTGGGCGACACCTAACACATTCGCCAGATTTTACAATCTCCGAGTGGAGCCAGTCTCCTCCCGTGTACTGTCTTTTTCAAGCTAACACGGGAACCGTTAGGTGTCTTCGCTTGCTCGCCACTCCACTCCACGGACTGGATACGTGCGATATTTCCTCAGGTAGCCTTCCTCTCTGAAGCCCTGAGTTCCTCCAGCACTGTTGACGCTGGCGCCAGTGTCTATTGCCTGTGCGTCGGCTAGGTGCCTCCGTGTGCATGGTTCCTCCTCCGAGCAACCCCCACATGTGTATTTCCACTGTAAGCCTCCTTGAGCATGTGTCGTTCCCTCGGCAAGCCACCTTGCCACTCCTGGAGTTGAAAGTAGATGCCACCCTACGGGTTGGTCACTCCAGTGTTCCTCCATATGAAGCCCCCTCGGGCCATATGTGTATTCTTAAGTCCTCCCTACGGGTAGGCATGCTGCGGCATATCTCCCCTGAGATATGCTTCCCAGTGTACCTTGGTATTCCTGTGTTAAGTAGGACTCCTTCGTCCGTGCCTATATCACGACAGGGAGCTCAGACTTCGCAGGGCACTGGAGGACAGCTGTGAAGGTGGCGTGATTACACGGGGACTACGAAAGGGAACGTCTCGGTTACGGATGTAACCCACGTTACGTCTCCGTGCCACTTCCGCTGTACCGCTGGGTCGACGCCTGAGTTCAGTCTCGGCTCCTCAGCGAAGACATGATCTGCTGTTGCAGGTGTCTCTCCTTAAATACCCACGCGGTGGGGCGGAGATACATTATGCAAATTCCGCAGACCCATGGCATTTCTTTGCCATTGGCTCGTTTTTTAATACTCGAAGAGGATTGGCTTTCTGGCGAAACCCCCATTCTCCGTCATCCGACGTAACGTCTCCGTTCCCTACTCAGGGAACGAGGGTTACATCCGTAACCGAGACGTTTACAGATGCTGTCATATAATTTTTGCGATACAGAATTTTATTTAATGCAGAAATGTCCTTTTAAGCATGTCAACAAATATTGCTTGGATTATTTTCCTATTCATACATTTAAATATTTTAGCACCCCTTGCCACTACAAGCTCTTCTTCAACGGAGTCTCAAACATCAGCTTCTTCAAGTGAGTATTTTTATTCATGGGTAATTGTGTAATTCATGTTAGTGTTAATGTGGTAAATTATAATAATAATTACAATAATAATATAGGATAATGAACTGAATCAAACACAGGACTTAAAATACACAAAGGATAATGAGAAACTTGGTAAATGGAGGTATAATCCATACTGGGGTGGCCACTTCTGCTGATGATGCTGGAGGGCTGAAGGTCCACGGCGGTGCCATCCCCTGTTTTGATCAGGGTGGAGCCTTGGGAACTGATGACCAAAGTGGAATCAGGTGGGCATGGGGGTCCAAGGTGGAAGCGGAGGGTCAGAGGACTGATGCGGAGATGAGGGATCGGAAGACAGAGCTGGAGGCTGTGTGAGTTAGTACAAAGGAGAAGCCGGAGGGATGGAGGAGCCGTTGGAGCGGAAGGGGTGGAGGGATGAGGCAGAGGCGGAGCCAGTGTCTTAGGAAGATGAGGCGGAGCCAGTCAGATCCAGCGGAAGTGAAGGAGTCAGGGAGCCGGGCGGAACCAGCGGAGACAAAGGAGTTAATGGAGGAGAAAGGGCTTGGGAACAAGTAGGAACTGGCGAGTCCACTATTCCAACTAGAACAGAAGGGATTCATTTTACCTCGTTATGGGGACATGGGTGGGTCTCTGATCCAGTATGTCCAATTTAATTAATGCTCCTACTGGGATGGACATGGCAGCTGGCTGTAGCTCCAGGACAGACTTGTATGCTCAGGCTCAGGGTCTGTAGCAGGCGGGGGCTCAGTCTATGAGTCCGTGGCAGGCGGGTGCTAATCATAGTCTTCCTGCACCTCACCCACAGTGAAAGAGGAACCACTCTTTGCAAGAACTAACTCTACAAAATCCATCAAACCTCCCTCAAGGACCAAAAATGGGCAGGGGAAAAAGTTGTTTTAAACAAAACAGAAAACAAACCAACACAGAACAAAATTTGGCGCAAGAGATAATCAAATAGCTAGGCATAAAACAAAGACAATACAGGTCATTGAACTGAACAAAACAGAGGGCTTAAAGGAACACTCCGACTTTTTGGGACTTTAGCCTATTCACCTTATCCCCCAGAGTTAGATTAGTCCATACCAGGGCCGTGCACAGGGGGGTGGCCCAGTGGCTAGAGCCACTGCCCTTCTGCCCTCATCAGCTGAGGTGCCCCTCTCGCCCCCTCCCTAACCCTCCAGAGGATTTCCATAAAAACGTTATGTTATCGCTCCAGAATTTTCGCACGTTAAAAAAATAAATACGACCTCACGTTATGTCAATCACACTTGCACACTGCCTCCGAAACTTTCGTCCGTCATAAAAAAATCTAATCGGGTAAAAATCTAATCGAACCGTAGCCAGCAGTTTGAATGGAGTTTGAATGGTGTTTTGACAATTCAGAGCCAACGAATCACGAATACGAAAAAACGCAGTGTGCAATATTCTGTATTTTTTTCTGTGCGTGCACACACACACACACACACACACACACACACAACCCGACGCGTGCAGCCCTGCACATAGACAGAGCAGCGCGCAAGGACTGAACTGAGCTCTCTTTCGCGTCTGAATGGACAAATACACACATCATTATGTCTAAATGTCCGTTTTGGAGATTATTCACTTAAACGCAGTCAGTTATGTCTTTACAGAACGTACAGTTGTGAGAACATCGGATGTGCATCAGTGCAATTGGATCTGCACACTCGGTCTTAAAGTGACAGTGCGTAATAAACCTAATGCCGTCTGTGCACTTAATATTAATCAAACAACAAAATAAAAAGAGAAAAGCATTCACTGCTCTTTAATAGCTTTAATAAGGATTAATTAGATTTAATTCAGACAAATAAATATGTCTGCTTGAAAGAATAAAGAATGATGTATGTAAGACTTTAATTTTAAGATATTATTTTATGTCACAGTGCTAAATATGTGTCTGTATTGCATGTTCAAACTTTAAAAATTATTAATATTATCAGGTTAATAGATGTTTTCTACGGGAATATATAATGGGTTTGGACATTTTAGAGAAATTCTAAATTAATGCATTACAATTTAACACTGAACCCATTAAATTTTAGTCGACTAAATCTACTGTAGATTTAGTCGACTAAAACCTTATTGTATTTCGTTGACTAAAACTAAAACAATTCAGATGACTAAAATATGACTAAAACTAAATGGTCATTTTAGTCAAAAGACTAAGACTAAATCAAAATTTGCTGTCAAAATTAACACTGATCTAAATGAATAGTACCTTAGTATATTAGCTAGGTTACAATGGGGTTAAAGGAACACCCTAACATTTGCTTTTCACATATGATTGCAGAAAAATATATGTTTGAAAATTGATGGAGCAACAGATTTTGTGTGAAAATAATCATGAAGGTGGTTTGTTAGTTTAAAAATCGTATTAATGTATGAGGTGGCAAGGAGGTAGCCTACACACGGGGTAAAACCAGCACAAAAGACACATAGTATTGATACAAATACTTTAGCTAAATTAATATACTTTTAATAATCCCTAAGTTGATACTTAAATTGGGGGAGGGGAGGGGGGTTGGGTCACCATCTTGCATGTTGCATGTTGTCAGTCAAACTCCTTATAGTGCCCCCTTTTTTGGTTTAAGCCACTGCCCTTCAAAATGTCTGTGCACGGCCCTGGTCCATACATACCTTTTTCATCTCCGGGCGTGCTATAAGTCTGTTTGACGCACCCACCGCTAGCCTAGCTTAGCACAAAGACTGGATGTAAATGGTTGCAGCTAGCATACTAATCCAAATAAGTGACAAAATAACGCAAACCTTTTCCTATTTACATGTTGTGATTTGTATAGTCACAGAGTGTACAAAAAACAAAGTCACATGAGACACAGACATATTTTAACCGTATAAATACTGGGAAGCAGTGCTTCGCCTTCAGAGAATATAGTTCCCAGTATTTATACGGTTAAAATATGTCTGTGTCTCATGTGACTTTGTTTTTTGTACAATCTGTGACTATACAAATCACAACATGTAAATAGGAAAAGGTTTGTGTTATTTTGTCACTTATTTGGATTAGTATGCTAGTTGCAACCATTTACACCCAGTCTTTGTGCTAAGCTAGGCTAGCGGTGGGTGCGTCAAACAGACTTATAGCACGCACGGAGATGAAAAAGGTATGTATGGACTTATATAACTCTGGGGGATAAGGTGAATAGGCTAAACTCCCAAAAAGTCGGAGTGTTCCTTTAAAATGCACACTGGATAAAGAGAAACTAAACAAGACACAAGTGAAGACAATTGGTCACATAGGGAATAAAGCTAACCCAGGGAAAACATGAACTAACAAACTAAGTCATTGGAAAAGTAAACTGTTTTAACAAAATGATTTACTCTTTGTCATATTCTTTTAAAAGTAATTATTGTAATACAGAATGTTACTGTATTCAAGTAAATATATATCCTTGTAAGCATGACAAGTATTGCACAGTGAAACTATATTATTTATTTCTATATCAAAATATTCCAGCAGCAACTGCCACTACAATGTATTCTTCAACTGAGTCTCAAACATCAGATCCTACAAGTGAGTATGTTTATTCATGGACATTTGAATAAACATGATAATAGGAAAATGATATCAGTAGTTTATTCACATGCTCAAGTAATATTCATGTACAGTTGTCTTTACACATCCTTAGAAAGCTATTCTGTTTTACTGTTACACGTAATAGATACTTCGGTATTTAAAATCACATCCTGAGTATAAAACAACAGCACCTAAAATAAAAAATGTCACAATTTCATTGTATACAAAAAGGTTTTGTAAACAAGTCAACAAATACAACTTTTTTTAAATAATAATAATTGTACTTATTTCATGTCACTTCCTATCAAACATCAGTTAAAATGTTTATAATGTAATATAAGTTATTCCTCTAACAATAATATTTTGATTGTAATACAAAAATTAATTGTATGAACATATGGCATTGTTAGCTTCTAAGTAATATTTCATAAATGTTTGTTTTTATTTCTCTATATGTCCATATATCACAGCATCCCCTGTCACTACAAGCATTTCTTCAACTGACCCTCAAACATCCACTGAAACAACTTCTACAAGTGAGTACTGTTCATGGACAACTGTGTAAACTAATAGCTGTATTTTATTACCAATGAAGTTGTATTATGATAATTGTGTCAAACAGCATCTCCTACGAGATGTAATTTATATAGATAGACAATTATGACATTTCAGTTGAAAAAACTATATTAACGTAGTTTACAGATGATGTCATATTATCTTTTATTAAAAGTTTTTGCAAAACAGAACTTAAAGGAGAACTCCGGCGCAAAATGAACCTTTGGTCTAATTACACATTGTTACCTAGTCAACCGTTATCTGAGATTTGTTTTCATGATTATCGAATGTAAATAGTTTTATCTCTAAAAACAGTTTAGCCTATAAAGCTAGTATAATGCTAGTATATTGGGCATAGTGTAATGACAAATAAAAATCGCTTGTTAATACCACTAACAAGGCTGAAAATAGCCCCACACTAACACGGTAGCATAATGAGGGTCCCTACCTTCAAACCGAAGCATTGAGAACTTTGTCAGTGTCCAGACAGTTTAATAAGAAGATATTTTAAACATACAGTCAACTTCGCGAATACAGGCAGGAGCCATCTTTGAAATACAGCCTTTACCAGTTGATCTACGAACGCCGATCCAAGCCTGCTGTTCGCGCTCACCTTATCACAACTTATAGCTTGTTCACATCTCACCAGCGCACTTGGATCGGCGTTCGTAGATCGACTGGTAAAGGCTGTATTTCAAAGATGGCTCCTGCCTGTATTCGCGAAGTTGACTGTATGTTTAAAATATCTTCTTATTAAACTGTCTGGACACTGACAAAGTTCTCAATGCTTCGGTTTGAAGGTAGGGACCCTCATTATGCTACCGTGTTAGTGTGGGGCTATTTTCAGCCTTGTTAGTGGTATTAACAAGCGATTTTTATTTGTCATCACACTATGCCCAATATACTAGCATTATACTAGCTTTATAGGCTAAACTGTTTTTAGAGATAAAACTATTTACATTCGATAATCATGAAAACAAATCTCAGATAACGGTTGACTAGGTAACAATGTGTAATTAGACCAAAGGTTCATTTTGCGCCGGAGTTCTCCTTTAATTTCATGCAGTAATGTCATTTTAAGTATGTCAACGAATATTACTTGCATAATGTTTCTATTAATACATCTAAATATTTTAGCACACCCTGCCACTACAAGCTCGACTTCAACTGACTCAGAAACATCAACTTTATCAAGTGAGTATTTTTATTCATGGACAACTGAGTAAACATGTTAATAGGACAATTATTTCAGTAGTTCATTAATTTTAGTGTTAATGTGGTAAATGTTAATAATCCTAACAATTACGACACTAGACTAGGAAGTGAACAATACACAAGACTTAAAAAGCACCCAGCATGACACAGGATAATCAGAAACTAAACAAGACACAGGTGAACACAATCATTAACCAAGGGAACAAACTAACTGAGCTTAGACGTAACATTACCTCCCCCACCCCTGAGGTGGTTGGAAGGGAAGGTATAATCCATTCAGGTGGGAAGGAGGGCCAAGACACCCAGAGTCCATGGAGGGACCGGTGGAGAGAAAAAAACAAGGAGTGGCTGGCGGAGGAAGGAACCACGGAGCAGTAGGAGGAGGAGGCCTCTGCGACACCAGTGAATCCACTTCTCCTGACGATGCTGGATGGCTGAAGGTCCGCAGCGTTGCCCTCTGCATTTTTCACCAGGGCGGAGCCATGGGAACTGAAGACCAAAGTGGAGTTTGGTGGGCTTGATACCAAGGTGTAGATGGAGGGATAAAGGACCTAATCGACACCAAGCACTGGGTTCTAAAGCGCAACCTTAGGGTCAGATGACTGAGGCGGCGATGAGGGCTCAGAAGACAGAGCCAGTGGGAGTGAGGACAAAGGAGTCATTGGAGGGATGGAGCCAGCTGGAGCCAGAGGAAGGGGTGGAGCCAGAGAACCCAATGAAGCCAGCAGAGGAGGCGTAGCCAGAAAACTGAATTGCAGAGGGGGTGGAGCTAGAGAGCTGAGTAGGACAAGCGAAGACGAACGAGCCACAGAGCTGTGTAGAACCGGTGGAGACGAAGGAGCCAGGCAGAACCAGCGGGCGGAGCAAACGGAGACAAAGGAGTTAATGGAGGAGGAAGGGCTTGGGAACAAGTAGGAACTGGCAAGTCCAATATTCCAACTGGAATAGAACCGAGTCTCAAACATCAGCATTTTATAGTGAGTAATTTTTATTTATGGAATATTAAGTAAGCATGTTGATAGGAAAATTAGATTAGTAGTTAACTCATTTTAGTGTTAATGTGGTAAATAATACAAATTATTACAATAACTATACAGGACAATGAACTGAACCAAACACAGGACTTAAAATACACACAGGATAATGAGAAACTAAACAAGACACAGGTGAACACAATCGGTAACCAAGAGAACAAACTAACTGAGCTTAGACGTGACATTAGGCAGTTGGAGTGAGGACAAAGGAGAAGCCGGAGGCACGGAGTAGCCGGTGGAGCCAAAAGGGTGGAGGGATGAGGCAGAGCCGGTGTCTCAAGAAGATGAGAAAAGCCGGGCAAATGAGCGGAGCCAGTGAAGGTTGTGGATCCACAGACCCAGCTGGAGCCAGCAGAGGGGGTAAAGCCAGAGAACCCAATGAAGTCAGCAGAGGAGGCGGAGCCAGTAAACTGGATGGAGCCTGCAGAGGGGGTGGAGCCATGGAGCTATGCAGAACAAGCCAAGACGAAGGAGCCAGGGAGCTGGGTGGAACCGGTGGAGATGAAGGAGCCGGGCAGAACCAGCGGAAATGAAGGAGCCAGGGAGCCGGGTGGAACCAGCTGAGACAAAGGAGTTAATGGTGGAGGAAGAACAAGTAGGAACTGGCGTGTCCAATATTCGAAACGTGATGGTGTCGGTTTTTTCCCAGGAGGCGGTTGCAGGCCCCCTCCTTCCCCCGGTGGAGGGCCGGGGGAGAATATTTTGTTCTCCACTCCCCGCTGCTCACCCACGGGTGGGCAGCACCCTAATGTGGTTAAAGAAAGAACCGAAATGTCCATCACTGAGCATACAGAGCCGGATGACAGTGTGCGACGCCCCCGTGCCTCGCCACTCTCGTCCTGCTCTGTCTCTGAGGGCGAGGATGACAGTGCGTGCCGTCCCCGGACCACACCACTCTCATCCCCCTCTATCGCCAGACCCCTGGCAGAGCAGACCCCCGCGGAACGCTGGTCCTTCCCTGGTCTCCTCTGTCAGGGCGCGGAGCTTGGCCCTTAGGGGACCTGCACGCATTCTCCGTTGACGAAGCGTGCCTGGAGTTCGGGCCCGGTCACTCTCACGTGATCCTGAGACCCCGGCCTGGATATGTGCCCAAGGTTCCCACCACTCCCTTCCGGGACCAGGTGGTGAACCTGCAAGCGCTGCCCCGGGAGAGGCAGACCCAGCCTTGGCACTGCTCTGTCCAGTACGCGCACTCCGTGCTTACGTAGACAGGACGCAGTGTTTCAGGACCTCAGACCAGCTCTTTGTCTGTTATGGTGGGAAGCTGAAGGGAAAGGCTCTCTCCAAACAAAGGTTGTCTCACTGGATAGTGGACGCCATTGCTTTGGCATACCAGCAGCAAGGTCGACCATGCCCCCTTGGTGTGACCGCCCACTCCACCCGGAGTGTGGCGTCCTCTTGGGCTTTAGCGCGTGGCGCCTCGCTGACAGACATCTGCAGAGCTGCAGGCTGGGCGACACCTAACACATTCGCCAGATTTTACAATCTCCGAGTGGAGCCAGTCTCCTCCCGTGTACTGTCTTTTTCAAGCTAACACGGGAACCGTTAGGTGTCTTCGCTTGCTCGCCACTCCACTCCACGGACTGGATACGTGCGATATTTCCTCAGGTAGCCTTCCTCTCTGAAGCCCTGAGTTCCTCCAGCACTGTTGACGCTGGCGCCAGTGTCTATTGCCTGTGCGTCGGCTAGGTGCCTCCGTGTGCATGGTTCCTCCTCCGAGCAACCCCCACATGTGTATTTCCACTGTAAGCCTCCTTGAGCATGTGTCGTTCCCTCGGCAAGCCACCTTGCCACTCCTGGAGTTGAAAGTAGATGCCACCCTACGGGTTGGTCACTCCAGTGTTCCTCCATATGAAGCCCCCTCGGGCCATATGTGTATTCTTAAGTCCTCCCTACGGGTAGGCATGCTGCGGCATATCTCCCCTGAGATATGCTTCCCAGTGTACCTTGGTATTCCTGTGTTAAGTAGGACTCCTTCGTCCGTGCCTATATCACGACAGGGAGCTCAGACTTCGCAGGGCACTGGAGGACAGCTGTGAAGGTGGCGTGATTACACGGGGACTACGAAAGGGAACGTCTCGGTTACGGATGTAACCCACGTTACGTCTCCGTGCCACTTCCGCTGTACCGCTGGGTCGACGCCTGAGTTCAGTCTCGGCTCCTCAGCGAAGACATGATCTGCTGTTGCAGGTGTCTCTCCTTAAATACCCACGCGGTGGGGCGGAGATACATTATGCAAATTCCGCAGACCCATGGCATTTCTTTGCCATTGGCTCGTTTTTTAATACTCGAAGAGGATTGGCTTTCTGGCGAAACCCCCATTCTCCGTCATCCGACGTAACGTCTCCGTTCCCTACTCAGGGAACGAGGGTTACATCCGTAACCGAGACGTTTACAGATGCTGTCATATAATTTTTGCGATACAGAATTTTATTTAATGCAGAAATGTCCTTTTAAGCATGTCAACAAATATTGCTTGGATTATTTTCCTATTCATACATTTAAATATTTTAGCACCCCTTGCCACTACAAGCTCTTCTTCAACGGAGTCTCAAACATCAGCTTCTTCAAGTGAGTATTTTTATTCATGGGTAATTGTGTAATTCATGTTAGTGTTAATGTGGTAAATTATAATAATAATTACAATAATAATATAGGATAATGAACTGAATCAAACACAGGACTTAAAATACACAAAGGATAATGAGAAACTTGGTAAATGGAGGTATAATCCATACTGGGGTGGCCACTTCTGCTGATGATGCTGGAGGGCTGAAGGTCCACGGCGGTGCCATCCCCTGTTTTGATCAGGGTGGAGCCTTGGGAACTGATGACCAAAGTGGAATCAGGTGGGCATGGGGGTCCAAGGTGGAAGCGGAGGGTCAGAGGACTGATGCGGAGATGAGGGATCGGAAGACAGAGCTGGAGGCTGTGTGAGTTAGTACAAAGGAGAAGCCGGAGGGATGGAGGAGCCGTTGGAGCGGAAGGGGTGGAGGGATGAGGCAGAGGCGGAGCCAGTGTCTTAGGAAGATGAGGCGGAGCCAGTCAGATCCAGCGGAAGTGAAGGAGTCAGGGAGCCGGGCGGAACCAGCGGAGACAAAGGAGTTAATGGAGGAGAAAGGGCTTGGGAACAAGTAGGAACTGGCGAGTCCACTATTCCAACTAGAACAGAAGGGATTCATTTTACCTCGTTATGGGGACATGGGTGGGTCTCTGATCCAGTATGTCCAATTTAATTAATGCTCCTACTGGGATGGACATGGCAGCTGGCTGTAGCTCCAGGACAGACTTGTATGCTCAGGCTCAGGGTCTGTAGCAGGCGGGGGCTCAGTCTATGAGTCCGTGGCAGGCGGGTGCTAATCATAGTCTTCCTGCACCTCACCCACAGTGAAAGAGGAACCACTCTTTGCAAGAACTAACTCTACAAAATCCATCAAACCTCCCTCAAGGACCAAAAATGGGCAGGGGAAAAAGTTGTTTTAAACAAAACAGAAAACAAACCAACACAGAACAAAATTTGGCGCAAGAGATAATCAAATAGCTAGGCATAAAACAAAGACAATACAGGTCATTGAACTGAACAAAACAGAGGGCTTAAAGGAACACTCCGACTTTTTGGGACTTTAGCCTATTCACCTTATCCCCCAGAGTTAGATTAGTCCATACCAGGGCCGTGCACAGGGGGGTGGCCCAGTGGCTAGAGCCACTGCCCTTCTGCCCTCATCAGCTGAGGTGCCCCTCTCGCCCCCTCCCTAACCCTCCAGAGGATTTCCATAAAAACGTTATGTTATCGCTCCAGAATTTTCGCACGTTAAAAAAATAAATACGACCTCACGTTATGTCAATCACACTTGCACACTGCCTCCGAAACTTTCGTCCGTCATAAAAAAATCTAATCGGGTAAAAATCTAATCGAACCGTAGCCAGCAGTTTGAATGGAGTTTGAATGGTGTTTTGACAATTCAGAGCCAACGAATCACGAATACGAAAAAACGCAGTGTGCAATGGCCCTTATTCTGTATTTTTTTCTGTGCGTGCACACACACACACACACACACACACACACACACACAACCCGACGCGTGCAGCCCTGCACATAGACAGAGCAGCGCGCAAGGACTGAACTGAGCTCTCTTTCGCGTCTGAATGGACAAATACACACATCATTATGTCTAAATGTCCGTTTTGGAGATTATTCACTTAAACGCAGTCAGTTATGTCTTTACAGAACGTACAGTTGTGAGAACATCGGATGTGCATCAGTGCAATTGGATCTGCACACTCGGTCTTAAAGTGACAGTGCGTAATAAACCTAATGCCGTCTGTGCACTTAATATTAATCAAACAACAAAATAAAAAGAGAAAAGCATTCACTGCTCTTTAATAGCTTTAATAAGGATTAATTAGATTTAATTCAGACAAATAAATATGTCTGCTTGAAAGAATAAAGAATGATGTATGTAAGACTTTAATTTTAAGATATTATTTTATGTCACAGTGCTAAATATGTGTCTGTATTGCATGTTCAAACTTTAAAAATTATTAATATTATCAGGTTAATAGATGTTTTCTACGGGAATATATAATGGGTTTGGACATTTTAGAGAAATTCTAAATTAATGCATTACAATTTAACACTGAACCCATTAAATTTTAGTCGACTAAATCTACTGTAGATTTAGTCGACTAAAACCTTATTGTATTTCGTTGACTAAAACTAAAACAATTCAGATGACTAAAATATGACTAAAACTAAATGGTCATTTTAGTCAAAAGACTAAGACTAAATCAAAATTTGCTGTCAAAATTAACACTGATCTAAATGAATAGTACCTTAGTATATTAGCTAGGTTACAATGGGGTTAAAGGAACACCCTAACATTTGCTTTTCACATATGATTGCAGAAAAATATATGTTTGAAAATTGATGGAGCAACAGATTTTGTGTGAAAATAATCATGAAGGTGGTTTGTTAGTTTAAAAATCGTATTAATGTATGAGGTGGCAAGGAGGTAGCCTACACACGGGGTAAAACCAGCACAAAAGACACATAGTATTGATACAAATACTTTAGCTAAATTAATATACTTTTAATAATCCCTAAGTTGATACTTAAATTGGGGGAGGGGAGGGGGGTTGGGTCACCATCTTGCATGTTGCATGTTGTCAGTCAAACTCCTTATAGTGCCCCCTTTTTTGGTTTAAGCCACTGGCCTTCAAAATGTCTGTGCACGGCCCTGGTCCATACATACCTTTTTCATCTCCGGGCGTGCTATAAGTCTGTTTGACGCACCCACCGCTAGCCTAGCTTAGCACAAAGACTGGATGTAAATGGTTGCAGCTAGCATACTAATCCAAATAAGTGACAAAATAACGCAAACCTTTTCCTATTTACATGTTGTGATTTGTATAGTCACAGAGTGTACAAAAAACAAAGTCACATGAGACACAGACATATTTTAACCGTATAAATACTGGGAAGCAGTGCTTCGCCTTCAGAGAATATAGTTCCCAGTATTTATACGGTTAAAATATGTCTGTGTCTCATGTGACTTTGTTTTTTGTACAATCTGTGACTATACAAATCACAACATGTAAATAGGAAAAGGTTTGTGTTATTTTGTCACTTATTTGGATTAGTATGCTAGTTGCAACCATTTACACCCAGTCTTTGTGCTAAGCTAGGCTAGCGGTGGGTGCGTCAAACAGACTTATAGCACGCACGGAGATGAAAAAGGTATGTATGGACTTATATAACTCTGGGGGATAAGGTGAATAGGCTAAACTCCCAAAAAGTCGGAGTGTTCCTTTAAAATGCACACTGGATAAAGAGACACTAAGCAAGACACAAGTGAAGACAATTGGTCACATAGGGAATAAAGCTAACCCAGGGAAAACATGAACTAACAAACTAAGTCATTGGAAAAGTAAACTGTTTTAACAAAATGATTTACTCTTTGTCATATTCTTTTAAAAGTAATTATTGTAATACAGAATGTTACTGTATTCAAGTAAATATATATCCTTGTAAGCATGACAAGTATTGCACAGTGAAACTATATTATTTATTTCTATATCAAAATATTCCAGCAGCAACTGCCACTACAATGTATTCTTCAACTGAGTCTCAAACATCAGATCCTACAAGTGAGTATGTTTATTCATGGACATTTGAATAAACATGATAATAGGAAAATGATATCAGTAGTTTATTCACATGCTCAAGTAATATTCATGTACAGTTGTCTTTACACATCCTTAGAAAGCTATTCTGTTTTACTGTTACACGTAATAGATACTTCGGTATTTAAAATCACATCCTGAGTATAAAACAACAGCACCTAAAATAAAAAATGTCACAATTTCATTGTATACAAAAAGGTTTTGTAAACAAGTCAACAAATACAACTTTTTTTAAATAATAATAATTGTACTTATTTCATGTCACTTCCTATCAAACATCAGTTAAAATGTTTATAATGTAATATAAGTTATTCCTCTAACAATAATATTTTGATTGTAATACAAAAATTAATTGTATGAACATATGGCATTGTTAGCTTCTAAGTAATATTTCATAAATGTTTGTTTTTATTTCTCTATATGTCCATATATCACAGCATCCCCTGTCACTACAAGCATTTCTTCAACTGACCCTCAAACATCCACTGAAACAACTTCTACAAGTGAGTACTGTTCATGGACAACTGTGTAAACTAATAGCTGTATTTTATTACCAATGAAGTTGTATTATGATAATTGTGTCAAACAGCATCTCCTACGAGATGTAATTTATATAGATAGACAATTATGACATTTCAGTTGAAAAAACTATATTAACGTAGTTTACAGATGATGTCATATTATCTTTTATTAAAAGTTTTTGCAAAACAGAACTTAAAGGAGAACTCCGGCGCAAAATGAACCTTTGGTCTAATTACACATTGTTACCTAGTCAACCGTTATCTGAGATTTGTTTTCATGATTATCGAATGTAAATAGTTTTATCTCTAAAAACAGTTTAGCCTATAAAGCTAGTATAATGCTAGTATATTGGGCATAGTGTAATGACAAATAAAAATCGCTTGTTAATACCACTAACAAGGCTGAAAATAGCCCCACACTAACACGGTAGCATAATGAGGGTCCCTACCTTCAAACCGAAGCATTGAGAACTTTGTCAGTGTCCAGACAGTTTAATAAGAAGATATTTTAAACATACAGTCAACTTCGCGAATACAGGCAGGAGCCATCTTTGAAATACAGCCTTTACCAGTTGATCTACGAACGCCGATCCAAGCCTGCTGTTCGCGCTCACCTTATCACAACTTATAGCTTGTTCACATCTCACCAGCGCACTTGGATCGGCGTTCGTAGATCGACTGGTAAAGGCTGTATTTCAAAGATGGCTCCTGCCTGTATTCGCGAAGTTGACTGTATGTTTAAAATATCTTCTTATTAAACTGTCTGGACACTGACAAAGTTCTCAATGCTTCGGTTTGAAGGTAGGGACCCTCATTATGCTACCGTGTTAGTGTGGGGCTATTTTCAGCCTTGTTAGTGGTATTAACAAGCGATTTTTATTTGTCATTACACTATGCCCAATATACTAGCATTATACTAGCTTTATAGGCTAAACTGTTTTTAGAGATAAAACTATTTACATTCGATAATCATGAAAACAAATCTCAGATAACGGTTGACTAGGTAACAATGTGTAATTAGACCAAAGGTTCATTTTGCGCCGGAGTTCTCCTTTAATTTCATGCAGTAATGTCATTTTAAGTATGTCAACGAATATTACTTGCATAATGTTTCTATTAATACATCTAAATATTTTAGCACACCCTGCCACTACAAGCTCGACTTCAACTGACTCAGAAACATCAACTTTATCAAGTGAGTATTTTTATTCATGGACAACTGAGTAAACATGTTAATAGGACAATTATTTCAGTAGTTCATTAATTTTAGTGTTAATGTGGTAAATGTTAATAATCCTAACAATTACGACACTAGACTAGGAAGTGAACAATACACAAGACTTAAAAAGCACCCAGCATGACACAGGATAATCAGAAACTAAACAAGACACAGGTGAACACAATCATTAACCAAGGGAACAAACTAACTGAGCTTAGACGTAACATTACCTCCCCCACCCCTGAGGTGGTTGGAAGGGAAGGTATAATCCATTCAGGTGGGAAGGAGGGCCAAGACACCCAGAGTCCATGGAGGGACCGGTGGAGAGAAAAAAACAAGGAGTGGCTGGCGGAGGAAGGAACCACGGAGCAGTAGGAGGAGGAGGCCTCTGCGACACCAGTGAATCCACTTCTCCTGACGATGCTGGATGGCTGAAGGTCCGCAGCGTTGCCCTCTGCATTTTTCACCAGGGCGGAGCCATGGGAACTGAAGACCAAAGTGGAGTTTGGTGGGCTTGATACCAAGGTGTAGATGGAGGGATAAAGGACCTAATCGACACCAAGCACTGGGTTCTAAAGCGCAACCTTAGGGTCAGATGACTGAGGCGGCGATGAGGGCTCAGAAGACAGAGCCAGTGGGAGTGAGGACAAAGGAGTCATTGGAGGGATGGAGCCAGCTGGAGCCAGAGGAAGGGGTGGAGCCAGAGAACCCAATGAAGCCAGCAGAGGAGGCGTAGCCAGAAAACTGAATTGCAGAGGGGGTGGAGCTAGAGAGCTGAGTAGGACAAGCGAAGACGAACGAGCCACAGAGCTGTGTAGAACCGGTGGAGACGAAGGAGCCAGGCAGAACCAGCGGGCGGAGCAAACGGAGACAAAGGAGTTAATGGAGGAGGAAGGGCTTGGGAACAAGTAGGAACTGGCAAGTCCAATATTCCAACTGGAATAGAACCGAGTCTCAAACATCAGCATTTTATAGTGAGTAATTTTTATTTATGGAATATTAAGTAAGCATGTTGATAGGAAAATTAGATTAGTAGTTAACTCATTTTAGTGTTAATGTGGTAAATAATACAAATTATTACAATAACTATACAGGACAATGAACTGAACCAAACACAGGACTTAAAATACACACAGGATAATGAGAAACTAAACAAGACACAGGTGAACACAATCGGTAACCAAGAGAACAAACTAACTGAGCTTAGACGTGACATTAGGCAGTTGGAGTGAGGACAAAGGAGAAGCCGGAGGCACGGAGTAGCCGGTGGAGCCAAAAGGGTGGAGGGATGAGGCAGAGCCGGTGTCTCAAGAAGATGAGAAAAGCCGGGCAAATGAGCGGAGCCAGTGAAGGTTGTGGATCCACAGACCCAGCTGGAGCCAGCAGAGGGGGTAAAGCCAGAGAACCCAATGAAGTCAGCAGAGGAGGCGGAGCCAGTAAACTGGATGGAGCCTGCAGAGGGGGTGGAGCCATGGAGCTATGCAGAACAAGCCAAGACGAAGGAGCCAGGGAGCTGGGTGGAACCGGTGGAGATGAAGGAGCCGGGCAGAACCAGCGGAAATGAAGGAGCCAGGGAGCCGGGTGGAACCAGCTGAGACAAAGGAGTTAATGGTGGAGGAAGAACAAGTAGGAACTGGCGTGTCCAATATTCGAAACGGAATAGAAGGGGATACATTCTACCCCGTTATGGAGACATGGGTGGGACTCTGCTCCAGGATGTCTAATTTAATTAGTGCTCCTACTGGGACGGACATGGCAGCTGGCTGTAGCTCCGGGACAGACTTGCATGCTCAGTCTCAGGGTCTGTAGCAGGCGTGGGCTCAGTCTATGGGTCCGTGGCAGGCAGGTGGTAATCATAGTCTTCCTGCACCTCACCCACAGTGAAAGAGGAACCACTCTTTGCAAGAACTAACTCTACAAAATCTATAAAACCTCCCCCAAGGATAAAAAAATGGGCAGGGAAATATTTGTTTTAACATGTCATTAAGTCCAGTCCAAAAATGGTGATCAGTGAGTGGTCGTGGTAATGGGTCTGATATGTTAGGTCTAGGGACTCACTGATGTGGTCCCCAAAGGAGCGATCATCCTGGGAGAGGAGGAAGCTGCAAATATCTGGAAGATGTGTTTATCTTCTCTAACCGCTGTATTCTGTTATGGTTTAGGTAGGCGAAGGATGAAAGGAAGAGGTGGATCCAATAACAGTCTTTTCACTTTTCTAATGAAACAAAACAAAGAAAACAAACCAACACGGAACAAAATTTGCCGCAAGAGATAATCTAACAGTTAGGCATCAAGCATAGACAATACAGGTCATTGAACTGAACCAATCAGAGGGCTTAAACGCACACAGGATAAAGAGAAACTAAACAAGACAGGGATGAAGACAATCTGTCACCAAGGGAATAAAGTAGACCCATGGGAAATCAGGAACTAACAAACTAAGTCATTGGAAAAGTAAACTGTTTTGACAAAATTATTTACTGTTTGTCATGTTCTTTTAATAGTAATTCTTGTAATACAGAATGTTATTGTATTAATTAAGTCAATTAATCTTTATTTATATAGCGCTTTTTACAATACAGATTTTATCAAAGCAGCTTCACAGTGATAACATGAAAATAAACACAAGAAGCTTGTTTCTAGAATAAAATTGCTTCATCGTCCACCTGAAGGCAGATCAAAAATATTGTTGAATAATTAAATGTCCCCACCTAAGCAAGCCAAAAGCCAAGGCAACAGTGGCAAGGAACCAAAACTCCATCAGGTGACAGAATGGAGAAAACAACCTTGGGAGAACCCAGGCTCAGTCGGTGGCCATGATTATGATTCAGGCAACATTACAGGTCAGAAGTCAAATTGGATCAGAACATTCACAATATTATACAGTTCCATCTGGTTGGAGGTCGGAGTCATCACGCCTATATGGAGACGAGTTTGTAGAGGTGTCCATGAGGCCTTCACAGGGCTGATGAGGCTGGCACTTCAGTGATGTGTTGTGGTCGTGTCCAGGCGCAGGTTCACCATCTGATCTGGATACAGCCCGGATTCGGCTGACTTTAGTAAACCTCGGAATAAATGGAAAGACTGACATTAGCGTAGATGCCATTATTCTTAAGATGTAACGAGTACATCGGGTGTTTTGGGAAGTGTCCCCGGTTCCGGCTGACCTAATCTATGCAGCCTAATAATCATTTACCTGATTTGAATAATATAAATGTATAATGTTCTACTGTATGTGAATGCCAGGTAAAAGAGATGTGTTTTTAGTCTAGATTTGAACTGACAGAGTGTGTCTGCTTCCCGGGCAATGTTAGAGAGACTGTTCCAAAGTTTAGGTGCTAAATAGGAAAAGGATCTACCGCCAGCAGTCGATTTTGATATTCTAGGTATTATCAACTGGCCGGAATTTTGAGATCGCAATAGACATGAAGGACTATAATGCGTTAAGAGCTCGCTTAAGTACTGGGGAGCTAAACCATTTAGTGCTTTGTAAGTAGACAGCAATATTTTAAAATGTATACACTGTTTAATAGGGAGCCAATGCAGTGTTGACAGAACGGGGCTAATATGGTCATACTTCCTGGTTCTAGTAAGAACTCTAACTGCTGCGTTTTGGACCAGCTGTAGTTTGTTTATTAAGCGTGCAGGGCAACCACCCAGTAGAGCATTACAATAATCTAGCCTTGAGGTCATGAATGCATGAACTAACTCTTCCGCATTTTTCATTGAAAGCATATGTCGTAATTTAGATATATTTTTAAGATGGAAGAATGCGGTTTTACAGATGCTAGAAACGTGACTTTCAAATGAAAGATTGGTATCAAAGAGCACACCAAGGTTCCTAACCGACGACGAATACTTGACAGAGCAGCCATCAATTGTTAGACAGTATTCTAGGTTATTAAGTGAGGAAGTTTTTTGGCCAATAATTAGAATCTCTGTTTTTTTCAGAGTTAAGTAGTAGGAAATTAACAGTCATCCAAATTTTTATATCAGCTATGCATTCCGTTAATTTTGTGAATTGGTGCGTTTCGTCAGGGCGCAAAGAAATATAGAGCTGAGGATCATCAGCATAACAGTGAAAACTAATGTCATGCTTCCTAATGATATCTCCCAAGGGTAGCATGTACAGAGTGAACAGTAACGGTCCTAGTACTGAGCCTTGAGGTACGCCATACTGAACTTTTGATCGATAAGACATCTCTTCGTTTACGGATACAAACTGATAACGGTCAGATAAGTATGATTTGAACCATGCTAATGCAATTCCACTAATGCCAACATCATTTTCGAGAAATTAAAAGAATATTGTGGTCAATGGTATCAAATGCAGCACTAAGATCGAGCAACATCAATAGAGAGATACAGCCACGATCGGATGACAAGAGCAAATCATTTGAGACTCTAATGAGAGCGGTCTCAGTACTATGGTACGATCTAAATCCGGACGGGAAATCCTCGCAGATATCATTTCTTTCTAAAAAGGAACATAGTTGTGAGGATACTGCCTTTTCAAGTATCTTTGACAGAAAAGGTAGATTCGAGATCGGCCTGTAATTGACTAATTCTCTAGGATCAAGTTGCATTTTTTTAATAAGAGGTTTAATAACAGCCAGCTTAAAAGTTTTCGGTACATATCCTAGTGACAAAGATGAATGAATGATATTAAGAAGAGGATCTATGACCTCTGGAAGCATCTCTTTCAATAGCTTAGTCGGTATAGGGTCTAACATACATGTTGTCGATTTAGATGATTTAATGAGTTTAGACAATTCTTCCTCTCCTATAGCAATGAATGAATCAAATTTTTCCTCTAGGAGACTACAATGCACTGTCTGATGCGATACTGTAGTAGACGGTTGCATAGTTATAATTTTCTCTCTAATATTATCAATCTTGTAAGTAAAGAAGTTCATAAAGTCATTACTGCTGTGCTGTTTGAGAACGTCCGGTGTTGAAGTTTTATTTTTCGTTAA